CATATATGTATATGCATTCGATGGGGGTTCTTATCATGTTAGAATTTGAAGTTGATTTTTGTCTGCTGTGATTTGTTTCGATTCTATAAGTGGCAAACTCGTCTTGGTAGTCTTTAGTTATTAGAAGATAAAAATATCTTTCTTGTGAAGAGATTATCGTTGTACTTTTAAAAGTGCATTTGATATTTAATAGATTTTCAACATGCCTTTCACATTCCAATATTATTGTACATACTATCGTAGATTTATTTTATTGTTCCTGATGAAAATATTATGTAATTTGGATAGTTTTACCCTGTAAAAATCTTGTACGAGTTCTTTAATGGTCCATATGGTAGCAAGATCTATTCTTATACATATTACTTTAGTCGAATAACATAACTCTTATTTATGTAAATCATATTTTTATCGTGAAGCTAGTATCAGTCATATTGATTATAAAATCTACACGAAATAATTGCTTATGGTGTATGCAATATTGATGTTTGTTTGTAATGAATTTGTAGATCTGTAAATATCTTTTGGATTTGGCTAGCCAGGTCAATGGCTCTGATACAGTGATGACTCTTTTGTGAATTATTTAATTTTCATGTGTGAAAAATTCTCTGTTTAGAGTGTCTTAATAATATGGAGGACACACACATATACATATATATTATAGATAACTAATAAGTCATTTTTGGATATTTTTGATTATGCTTCATATCTTTGCACATGACTGTGGGCATAGAAAGTATTTATCACAATTTTGATATGAATGATTGTACATCATCATGGTATAAATCACTACAACGCAATATTATCAGATTAAAATAATATTGCTTCAATTTTTATTGTTCATATTACAAGCCTAATGCCTTGCAGTTTAAGTTTTAATAAATATGAATAATTTATTTTTAAAAAAAATATAAATCATTTGTTGAGTTTGGATGTCAATCTCATTTGTGTTAAACTTTTATTTTATCAGATTTCATAGGTTACTTGATGGATTGTCACTATAAGAACAAACAATGCAGTAGTAATTAATTCATTTAAAACTTAAATTTATATTATAGTTTATTTGGGCTCTCTATTTGGTTTTATGTAGTTATTGTTTATGACGGTTGTCTTCTATTTTCTTTTTCATTAGTAGTTTTTTTCATAGTTGACTATTATTAAATATTCTATTGCAATGAAATGTTAATTGTTTCTTTTTTATTACGTGTATATGTTTTTGTATAAAATTATACATATATAATTTTTTTGCTCTTTCGTACGAACTAAATTTAATTGATGCTGATTTTATGGTTTATCATATGAGTTGATATTAATTCCTTCATGTCCCATCTTGTAGTGGTGCATCGCCATATGGGCCCGAAGTCTAACATTTAGTTTTTGGGAAGTATTAGTATCATTATTTGTCATGCAAGGGGTTGACTCTTGGAAGAGTTATTTATCTATAGGAATGAAACAAATTTATAATCTACATTTGCATTTTCTATATTACGATTTATTTTCTAATTTATGACTAATCTGGGGATTATAGCATCTTATTAATTTATTTGCTGCAATATGAGGTGTTATGTCTGATATATAAGTTTTTTCTATTTTAGGAAATATGTATTCTTGATTGTAGAATGAATTTTCATTTATGTGGCTATCCTTAATGAGTTTGCTACTTCAGACAAATTAATATTTATTAATAACATTACGAAGATTGGGAACAATATTGAAATAAATGAGTTAATGACATTGATTGATTTTAATAGCTTGCATATGAGAGTTTGCCTAAGTCATATTCCATTTTATTAACTGTTGAGGGTTTAAGAGCGATATCAATCTTATATGAGAATGATTAGGTGGATGAGTGGCTTTACACTTAGAGACAAAATGCAAAATGAATATATTCGTGATAGGGTTGGTGTAGCTCCTGTGATGGACAAAATTAGAGAAAGTCGTCTTAGATGGTTTGGTCACATTAAACGTCGACCATCTGATGATCCGATTAGGAGAGTAGATGTTTTAGATTCGACTTGTGTTAAGAAAGACAGAGGTAGACCTAGGAAGACTTGGGCTTATTGTATTAAAAATGATCTTAATTTACTAGAACTAAATGAAAATATGGCACTAAATAGTACGCAATGGAGAAAAAGGATTCATGTAGCCGACCCCACGTAGTGGGATTAAGGCTTTGTTGTTGTTGTTGTTGTTGTTGTTGTTGTATTTCTCATTGATTTTTTGGATTTCTTCTGTTTTGAAATTATAACTTGTATGATAATTCTCATACTTACTGATTTACATCTAAAGAAAGTGTAGCGCATCAAATTTATCACATGTCCTAAATTATTTAAAGGAGCAATCTACACCATTTATTATTTTAATATTTTCTTATTATTGAGGATGTTGGCCTTTGCTATGTTTTTTTATGGTTCTTTCCCTTGCATATGTAGACAAATGCATTCTTGTACTAGAAGACAATTTAATAAAGACACAATTTTTTCTAGTTATCTCTTTATTCTAACCTAGCATTGAAGCCATATTTCCATGGGCCTCTCTTTATCCCCTTCTTAACTCTCAATCCGATTGTAAAAGAAACCCTGTCAATGCTAATCACCACACCCCTCACCCTCGTACATGATATAAAAGGTTTTGGGTTGACACTGAATCACTTCCCTCATGCGGCTATTTTTTGTTCCTATGTGGTCATAGATATCATTGTTTTCTGCTAGTTCTGATCTCTAGGGCTTCCCTTGATTGCATGCCTACATGATGAACCATTCTATAATGCACAATTGTTAGTGCTCTACTATAATACTTTTGCGTACATTCTTTGTTGAAGCTATTCGATCAATGCTTCTTGTTGACCTTTTCCATCAAACCTCTTCCTTGATGCTCTATGTTGATATTTCCAGCATCACATTGATAACTCTATTTAATAGTTTTATTCGTGCCTTCTCTTATACATTTCTTGTTGCTGACTCTTTGTATTTGACTTATACTACTTTCTCTTTCACGGATCGAGCACACTGCTCTTGCAAAACTTGTAGCCCCTAGGCATTAAAATTTTCTACTATTTATATTTTGGTCTCTACTATTTTCAAACTTAAGTTGACACCCTAAATACTCCTTTGAGTTTGCAGAGGAGTTTTACATCCCTAATTCATCACATGACTTGATTTATTTATAATATGAATCTAAATTATTTATTTTTGGAATATTTTTTGCATTATTGAGGATACTCGCTTTTATCATATGTTTTTTTAACTTTCGTTTCTTTTGCCAATATATAGGTATATTTATACTTGTTTTAGACGTGTTGTCCTTTTTGGTTTCTTTTCCTTCTAATGGAGACAACTTTTTGCTTATTTAATTGTCTGGGATTGCGAATCCCAAGTTCAGTCATGTGATTTACGTATATTGTACTATTTTAGTTGCATTAGGAAACCCTAAACCTACTGTAGTACATTTTTGTTAGACTTATTAAAATGCAGAATCCCAATTGGAACTAATCGAGCTTCAACGCATCCATCATGTTACTAGTGTAAACAACATATGTTGCTTTCGTATTAGGCATGTTGAAAGCTAAAGATGGGGAAGGCATGGGCCATTGTGCAGCCTCCTTATCTTCTTTTTCTTGTAGCCTTCAATTTTGCTGTGTGCATTCATGAAACTCAATTAGCCCACTATGTTTCCTTGCGTTTCCCACAAGAAGAGAAAGTGTTCGATCTAATTAACTGACTTGACGGCTTAATCTATTGTAGGCGGTTCATAATTTGACTTGCTAATATGTACAACCTCCAATTTCACCATTAAAAGTAGAAAGTTTCTTTGGATCCTCTTCATTTCTTAAGCTATTTGTCATTTTTTTATCTCAAGCCTTCCATTTTGTACTACCAAAATTTTAATTTTTTTCAATGTCGCAAGGGTGTAAACGAGCTAAACTTGATCAAGTTGAGAAGTTGTTCGTGCTCAGCTCGATTGAATTTTACCTTGTTTGAGCTTCGCTCGTGTTCGACACCAGCTTGTAAAATAGATGTTCATGATTGGCTCGCACCACACATGAAAATTTTAGAAAATTTAATTATGTTAATTATTAAACTTAATATTCCAATTATAGCTTGCGATTATATCATAAAAATGCACATTTTATCATAGCCTCCACAGTGGAGCCTGACTATAAAATTTTGGGAAGTTGAAAGTACTTTTGGCTTATAAAGAATAATTCCTCTCTTAGCTTTGGCTGTGTGGGACAAAAAAATTCACAGGGTGTGCGTCTGCTCATTATTTAGGGACATTTACATATATACCACTAAAATCTCATGTATTTACATATCTTGCAGAAAAATTATAGGCTGGAATCAGGATAGAGCGGTAAGACATAAAATTTTATGGGAATTTACATGCATACTACCCAAATCTAATGTATTTACATATCTAACGCCTAAATTTATATTTGCTTACAATTATACTGCCCAAATAATTATTAAAATAATAAAATGTAGCATTTTTTAAGTATAATATAAAAATTTAATATAGAAAAAGATAAACATAAATATTATTATTTAATTATTTGATTATCTCGAACCAAAATGAATTGAACACGAACGAACAAACATTTGTTTGTGTTCGGCTCATCTATAAATTGAGCTAAAAAAAATTGTTCTTTTCCGGCTCGCTTGTTTAACAAACGAATCGAACACGAGCTACTTAACGAGCCGAACACGAGCTGTTCATGATTGAAGAGCTTTTTTTACAGCCCTAGTTGCAAGTAGTGAACCTGCTTATAATAGAGTTTGACAGCCATTTGAGTACTTTGTGAGAGACAATCCTGACTTGCCAATCAGCTTTGCTGTTTTTATGGTCTAATGCAGCGTAATGAGGTGTTGATGTTGATTTAAAACATGGTTTTTTTTTTTTTTTTTTGGGTTTGTTAATCTTGAATTCCTGCAACGGTGTAAGGTTGATCAATTTGGGACTATTTCGCATGATCAAATTAATATCTTTTGTTAAGTCCGTTGTAGGGGTGAGGGGAAGAAAGCTGCAGATTGCTTGCGAACTGCTTTGAGAGATTACAATCTCAAGTTCAGTACGATCCTCAATGATCCCGACTTAGCTTCTTTCAGAGCTATGCCCGAGTTTAGGGAATTACAGCAAGAGGTTGGTACAGCCATGGTGATTTTTGTGTTAATATTGTAATGTCACTCACATTGGAGGATCTTTTTATTTTTTTTTATTTTTTTTATGTTTTGTCACTTATGATAACTTCTAATTGTTTTATAGGCTAGAGTTGGAGGTGAAGACATTGGATATGGATTTCGAAGGGATCTCAAGCTTATTAGTGAGGTTCAAGCACCATTTCGTGGTGTAAGAAGATTTTTCTATGTTGCACTTGCAGCTGCTGCAGGAATTTCGATGTTTTTTACTGTTCCTAGACTCATACGTGCAATTAATGGCGGTGATAGTGCCCCTGTTCTTTGGGAGACGGCTAGTAATGCAGCCATCAACGTTGGAGGTAGGAATTAAACACAAGTGAACATACAACTGTGTTATTCTATTTACTTATGTAATTATGCTGTATTAAATAACATCAAACATATCTAACTACATTAATTGCTCGAATCTTTCAACTTATATTCATTTTTCTTTTTCCAGACACCTATAAGCTATTTTGATGGTATTATTTATTTTAAAGAATCTGCGTCACGACGAATTGGTCTTTGAACTTGCTAGTATATGAATTCAAACTCGAATATCACCTTTTTGAATGCAGTTTAATTTTTCTGTAGTACAGCTCTTTTAGTCCATTTAATGCTGACGAGTTTTAAAGAATTTTTTTCTAAAACAGTTAAGACAACTTTGTACCGGTGTCATGCTTCAATGCTCTAATTTAAGTTGTTCAACTCATTGAGGATTGGGACTTCTCATTTCCAGCGTTGCAATTTTCTGCTGTGACTAGAGTTGCAGTTCTGTTGGTATTGGTAGATGTTTATATTACAACCTGAAAGTAAATTTTTAAATTATATTCATTTTGAAAGTTTTATCTTTTGTGAACTTTTGGCTTATTTTTGCTTTAAATATAAGTGCTATATTCCGTTGCAAACCTTTTTTTTGGCCTCAAATTATAAATAATCATGTTTGAAAGCTGTTTAGTTACCCGTTGTTGCTCTGTTTTGCTTCACAGTTAGGTGAAAATTCTTCCTATCATATAGCCTATTTGCTATCCAATTTTATACTGATATTAATGTGCGTTTCCATCAAATATGCTTTGGGATGGATATGCGCAAGTTTTGACACTTCTGACCTCTTAACATGCTTCAAGGCAAGCTAAGGAACATTTAGTGCGCTAGAATGTTCTCTGTAATTTAGTTGCATGGTAGGATGCTTGAAACATGCCCTATTTTAGTAGATGACGATGCATTAGGTGACGAGCTTATTGATCAGATGTCTCTTGATTTTGCAGGGTAATATTTGGTATCATAAATTTGACATAAATACTTTGGTTAATTATGCCTCATTTAAATACAAATGGTATAATTAGGGTATTTAGAAACACTATTGAGACATATTTGTCTGACATGAAAATTTGGTAAGTTTTATGAAGTTTGAATTTCTTCTTATGCTTCTACTTCTTTCTTAAAATTGGGTAAGATGCATTTTCCAATTTTAAAAAATTGTTTTCTTTTAATTGGATGCAGACTTTCACATAAAAAACCTAGTTCACATTCTTGGTGAGAAGAAATGGCTGTGCTCTCTTTATTGAATAAAAGAATGACACTGCTCTATTTTTAAAGAAGGATCTATGGTTGTAGAATATACTTTCTTTGTTTTTCATGTCAAACAACAACTATATCTCAAAAAAAAGGAAACTGGATGCTTTTCTTTTCAGACAAAGTATCACTTGCTTAGACAAATTGGACTTTTCACTGCAGTTTTAAAGCAGTATAAGGAAAGGTCTAGTAGCTATAACAAAAAATATTATAATCCTTGAGGCTCACCACTTTTTGTATTTTTTATACTAAAAGATCTGGTCGCATTTGGATCTTACACAAAAAATTAATTATGTTCCTTACAAAGGAAAGCATTTTCTATATCTACATACTCTTTGTAATCTAATTTTTTTTATTATTTGTATTTAATTTCCCTGTTCATTGGAGCTGATCAGAAACCTTAGTAGAAAAGGATAGATGTCCGGTTAGACATACCTCCTTTGTTGGACCACCATTTTTTCTCATATCGTTTTTGCAAAATACTTATTTATGATTGTACAATCTAATTTTAGTTTGACAACATATGAATCTCATTTATTCGACCTTATATAAATTAGTTTCTGTAAATCTGCTTTTGCCACAATAAAGTAACAAGTTTCAGCATTATTTTTGTTGACATTTAATTTTCCTCCATGTTCGTGCTTGCTTTCTTGAATAGATCAGGTTTCTGAATCAGCACTGTGTAGGCATTGTTATACTTGCGGGATTGTTTTTCTGGGAAAACAAGAAAGAAGAGGAGCAGCTTTCTCAAATAGCGAGGGATGAAACACTATCAAGATTGCCTCTTCGTCTTTCTACCAATAGAATTGTTGAACTTGTACAGCTGAGAGATACTGCTAGGCCAGTTAGTATTCCCTTCACTTTTCTAATCCACCGGCAGTGATTATGCTTTAGTCACATGGCTTCTATTTAGGTTTTAGCTCTTCTGAAAAATTCTTCAGGTCATTTTGGCAGGGGACAAGGAAACTGTTTCTAGAGCAATACAGAAGGCTGAGGGATTCAGAACTGAATTAGTGAAACGTGGTGTTTTGCTGATTCCTGTTATCTGGGGTGCATATAAGATGGTCCCTGTTGAGAAAAAAGGCTTTGGACTTCCTTTGAAGGCTGCTATATCCCTTCCTTCGATTGGAGTATGATTCAATCTATTCTGCTACTAGTTGAGACCTTCAGATAATATTAGAAAGCTTGCCCTTAGATTGTTGAGTATTTTAATTAGTCTATTTATTCACCGAACTTGACCACTTTTTTAGGGAATCGCATTAGAAAATTGATGCCAAGGTCACCAATTTTATCTGCTTTTGCATAAGATTTGATAGTTGATTATTTTTCTTGTTTGAAGCCTTCTGAGGTTACTAAGGATGCATTTCTTTTACATGTATGCGTCAAGCAACTTGTGGTACAACACATGCTTTACCATGTTTTATTTGTTATCTCCTAATTTGTTGGTTATGATTTAGGGAATGCCACTCACAAAGTAAGCTATTTATGGTTTAGCAAATTCACTGTGCAGCAAATTTTCGAAGTCCAATAAGTTAGTCCACTTTCTCATGAAGTCGCGGATGTGTCAGGTTGGTTCTTAGGTTTTCTCCCTTAAAAAATTTGTAATGATGTCAAGTGGATAATGTTATAATCACACGCGGTAAGAAAATTAATACTTGTTGTGGATAATGTTATGGTCTGGATTCAAATACTTTTTGAAGAATATCCTTCCTAAGCTTCCACCCTCACCACGCAACACGAAAACCTCTTCCATTCCAACAAGGAAGCTTCTAGCTCCGAACTAAAGTGATTTTTGTCTCTCTCTTCTTCATAAGAACCTGCATTTTCTTCTTATCTCGTACTTTCATGGATTTCCCTTACACAAGTTTTGTATATGACAAAAGTTGCAGCTATATCCTGTACAACTTTGTATCACATTTATACAAGCTGTTCTAGCCTGCAGAAATTTCTGAATAGCTTGCAAAACTCACCGGCATTCTTTTGCACCTCCTTCATAAAGCTTCTAATTATTCAGAACCATTTTCTAGAGGAGTCATGAACTTTTGATTCCGAGATAATTTAGTTCATACTTGATATTATGCATGGCTTGCCCGCAAAATGTTTTTTTTAAACTGTTGATTAGCTTCAGCAAATCATTTGTATGCGGCGTTTTTACTTTTCTGTTTATTTTCCTTCAATTTTCAATGTACCATCTTTTAGATTTGCTTCATTTGCTGTAATCTTGTTACCTTCAGTGAATCATTGTTTGGCATGATGAATGTAACAGCTTAAAAACTCTCAGACTTTCCTATCCATACTCGCTTACATTCTCTTAGCACTTGTTTGTCTTTGAGCTGAGACTGTGACCGTGTTTTTAATAGCCTTGGCCCGTGTCTTGACACCAAATGCATCATAGCAGGAAGACTTTGAAAAGCGAGCTCAATCAATATCTGCTAAGTCACGCTTGAAAGCAGAAATGCGATTTAAAGCCGAGATAATATCTCCTGATGAGTGGGAAAGGTAATATTAGCACCAGTTTTACAGATATTAGTTGTTACAATATGATTACATTTTAAACTTTTTCTCTATTCTAGTATTATGTGACTCCTGTTCACAATTTACGGAAAGTATATGCCAAAGTTATTATATACTTTTCATCAGGATTATAATCTAAAAGGCATGTTTGAACTATTAATATTTATGTGGTTGTGTGCATATATTGTTGCTGGGTTAATGCAGTCATTTTTAATGAACTCTGTAATTTTTGAGAATTTTTTTTATTACGATGGAATTTTATTACTAGCCATTGAAAACATAACCTTAGCAACTAATCACAAAGAATTGCCAACAAGAAAAAAAATTTGACAAGTACATTGGATAAAGATAATTTAAAATCTAAACAATTAATATCCATTCTTAAGGAAAGTAACAGTCCCATATTCAGATGCAAACTCAATTTAGAATGCCAACGCACCAGGAGAGTTACATCGTCTAGCTTGGAATCTAATAAATTTGGGTGAGTAAAAAACCTTTTTAAGTTGCGCTCCGTGGGAAATGCAAATTGAAAATTTTTATCCACTAAATCAAATAAACTTCTAATTGAATATTGAATCTGAACCAAGTTAGTCTTCACCTTCCACATTAGAACTCAAAAATACCATTAGGGAGTGCAATGGTAATATCATAAAATGAAGAGAAAGGAGTGACAGCTAGCCACTAATTGGTTTGCATATTTTTCCTCCAGGCATTGCTCTTGAAGTATCATGAGCTGAAAATAAATATCTGAAGGATGAGTATGGGGTTGATAGTGTCAATCACAAACCTACAACAGTGGAAGGCACTAATTTAAGAGAAGGGATTTCGGGAGTATCTCGAGCATGAGAATATCCTATAGAAATCAAGGCATTGGGAGCATCTCCTAGTAAGTTGGAAATCTTCAATTGCTCATGAGAATTAACCGTACAAATATCTTTTAAGCTGAATAATGATTGAGCAATCCTCAATAGTCGGGCCACTAGAGATGATTTTCTCAATTTAGTATGCCTTAAACAATCATTGTAATCACGATTATAGATTTTGCACGACTGAAATATGAGGATAAATCCTCATATTTTCTTTTTTGTAATAAATATGTAAAGACGCATTAATCCATACTAGCATAATCAAACGATTTTTTTGTCCGTCTCAATAAGAATTTGGGCCATAGAAGACCATGAGAGTTTGTTAATACTATTATTCACTTGAATTGGTTTTTAAAATTATCTCAGAAAGTATAGTGTAGATTGATTGGTTTTTAAAGTGGGGTAATCGGTGGCTCCTTTGTCAAGTTGTCAAAAGTGCACTTCACTTGCAAAGTGGTGCAACACATCTGAAGGGTCACTTTGTTTCGTGTTTGCGTGGAAAATGTGTACGAAGGGGGTGCATCACGCTGTTCATGGTCATATAGGTTTGTTTGGCAGATATGGGTTAGTATGAAGCACGGGGTGGAGCAATAACACCAATTTGGTGTTGCATGAACAAGGAAAGAGAAAACACTCCATGTGTGATGGAAGATGGGCTCGCAGTGGGCTGCTATTAAATTCACCAAAAGTACTAGCGAGGGATATTGAGAGCAAGAGGAGAATCACTAGAATGATGCAGCTATCTGTGATCTAAAGCATGAGTCTCAATGCAATTAGGGTAATGGTCATGTAAGGAGCTAAGATGGTATCAATAGCATAAGGCTTGTGAGCGTAAAGGTTCTGCGTAGCAACAATGAGCTCGCATGAGCATTCTTAAAACGTGCATAACAAGAGCATGCAGGACAAGCTATGCATGGAAGTAACTCGCAAGTGCAATCGAGAATATAGAGGGTGGGACAAGAAGTTGCTGCTTGGTTAGAATCGATTATAATAGATTAACTAGATTAAAATCAGCAAAAATTTCTACCTGTTCATTTAACAATAAAGCATTAAATAATTGCATTTTCATCAAATCAAGAATATGGTCGATTTTTGGGTTGGATAGAGAATTTGATGTCGAACTGATCCAAAGTGGCACATTGTTATGCTAGTAGATTCAGTGGCTATTTTGGTTATGTAACAACAAGTCGGTGTGATGCAGGCTGTAAAATTGGAGACTAGATTGGTGGCATATGGCATTTTTGGCAGGTGTAATTGGATACAGCAATGGCTAATTTGCTGGATTGTTTTTTGAGAAGTTGTATGGAAGATTTTAAGATTGAACTTTCAAAGTAGACATAGCATGAAAAAGTATGTTGAATTGAAATCTATTTATTATTATATTTGTTTCAAATAACCACGAAAATAGCATCCTTTATATTTCATCACATGAGTCTGCAGTCATACTATCATCTGCAAACTTATTAACCTGATTGTGGATAGCATTTGCTTGCTGTTCACCACTCATCAAAAGGTAGTTGGCTAACCAATAATCTCTTTGTTTTATTCACATCTCTAATACCCCAAACTTAGCAATTAATTTCTTCATAAAGAAGTTGATCTTTGACATTCTCTAAACTCATTGCATCATTTCAATGAAAATCTAAATGGTTATATTTGTCCAAAATGCAGAAAATGCGTATTGAGATGTGGAGTTTTGTATTCTGAATTTTTCATTTACTTTAGTTGTTTTCTAGTGTTTATACCTAGTAGTTTTTTGTGATTCTCGGAAATCTCATACTTTATTTTTGGAATGTTAATTTTGGCTACGATGATGCTTTTGAGAATGATATATGCTTTTTAATGTTCTAAACATTTCTCCTCCAATTAAATTCAGTTGTTTGTTGGAAAATTCAGTTGCTTTGCTTTTTGATAGCTTCGAATGGATTTGTTGGTTCAACCTTATTTTCATGATTTTGGAATTCATGTGATGTAATTGGGCTTTAAAATGGGTTTTTGGCAGTTGAATTCATGTGGATGCTATTTATGTCTCTGCAGTAAAATATAATTTGCAGATTCTTCCCAACAATGAACAATGGGGGTCATTTCACGAAATCCCTCGACTTTTGATCTCAATTTTTTATAGTGCCTTTTGCCTACTTTTTTTGTGCACATCCTTGTGAACATTTCTGACTCCCCAGTTGAAACCCCCTTAGGTTCAACCATGTTACAACAGAGATGAACGACTTAATCATACAAAATTTTCACGAGCACTAGTTCTGATTTGCATAAATTTAGATTTAATGATTAACGAATTAGTCTCACTCAATCATGACAAACATTCACAATTCAATTCAATTCATAATTCATTAGCATTCTCAGTTGCTTGAAAGCTTCCATAATAATTTTACCAAAATAGATACAGAGAAGTTAGAAATCAAACTTATAAAGATCAAAATTCTTTACAACTTTCAAGATTATACAATCCAAAAACTGTACGGTATCACACCTAGTTAATCACCCTGTTGCTCCTTATCCCTTCTTAAAAATCAATAATATATAAAAGTGAGCTACAAGCTCAATGAAATAATTATGGCTGAAGTAAGATTTTATAGACAACAATAACTAATATGAGTGTCAATAATAGATAAGACAAGCATGATTTAATCATATGAAGCATCAAGTAAAGAGGTATGAATGCAGTAAATATTAACAAACTGTAACAAATATATATTTCATTCATTCCTGCACAATCATATAAATAGTTTTAACTATTTCATAATCAATAAACATTGTCTTAGGAATGTTATTTGTGCTTGCATATACTTTTATTTCATCATCAATAAACATTTCCTGTTGGCTGCACAACTATTGATAAATGTTGGTCTTTTCAACATGACAATTATCAACAACCTCCATGATACTAACATGTTTGTCCCCGCCTAAATATTAAGAGTCAGGAATTCTATAGCTTTCCTGTTATCTGCATAGGCAGGTCATTCATACAATAGCTACTTATCACACCCCTTGTGACATTCTATTGATCAGATTTTTTATAACAATCATTTTTCTTATGCAAATCATTTATCACATGCATATATAATGACATACGAATACCAGCAAGCAGAAATGTAATTGTTGTCGGCTCAATTTTGCATTTATGTAAGATATGGAGGTGTTCAACAATATGTGAAATCTCTAAATCCAGTCACACATCAATAAATCGTGAAGTAATCCTATGGAAAAATATTTTTCTAAAATTAACATATGATTATCTCACCTAAATTGACAGAACAGTCCCGCGATGAGTTTTCTCAGGCTCGCTTCGAGCTCGACATCTAGCTGGAATCCTAATTCCTTCAAATTTCATGATATTCTTAACTTAGGTTTTAATTTAACCATAACATACTTCTTTTGCTATTTCTCACCTCAATATGATTTTCCCGCATTAAATTCTCTACCTAATTTCTTCAATTCCTTTAATAATTTTGCTCTTCTTTTCCTCTTCTTCTTTCTTCCTGTTCGTTCCTCTTTTTCCTCTTTTTTTTTTCTGTGCTTTTCTTGGATTAGAGTTACCCGAGAGCATAGCCGGTTTCTGCCACTCCTGCTTCCTCCCCACTCCAGCGACGGTACCAGACGCTGGAACGAAGGGAAAATCGAACCAAAGGATGGCTTCTGGATTAAGTAATTAAGCTAATTACTTCACACGTTGCTTAAAATCATTCTCATACCTTAAACCTGAGAGGAATTTCTCTGTTTCTCACGTGGTCCACCTCATCAGCTCCCGTTTACATCTATGGCTACAGTGCTGTTTACGGAATTGTTGCAGCATCCCCTTTTTCAGCGAAGCAGCGCAGTTACGGGAAGGGAAATAAGTGAAAATTAAATGCTATATATATATATATATATATATTAATCAAAGCCCTCCAAAACATCATGCCGCTGCATGCAGGCATAAGTGCGGTTCTCAGAACTGCTACAATAATGAGATTATTAACAAGAATCAGTTAAGTTATATAAGTAATTAATTAAGTTTAATTAAGATATTATTTTAATTTATAACTCAAATTATATTAATTATTTATTTATAATATTATATATCAATTGGATTGTTATAAGGTGTAGAATTTTATGAAAATAAATTGGATGCATTTCAGGTGGTGCAAAAAATTAGGAGTATTTTAAAATGATTAAATGTTTATACCTGAATTAGCCAAAAATTCGGTATTACAATACTCTCTTATAAAAGTTTATGATCTCGAAATTTCTGAATATCAGCTTAAATAAAAAGGGTAATTACTGTCATATGCTTCTACTCTTTTTCAAGTAGCTTCTTTTTCTGGCCCATGCTCTACTTTATTTTAACATAAGGAATTTGTTTGTTCCTCAACTTCTTATCACTATCTTTAAGATTCTCGCAAATTTTTTAATATATGTTAAATATTTTTGTATCTCAATATCGTCAAATGAAAATATTTCCGTATTTTCCCAACATTGAAATGCAAAATATATAATGAATATCTGATATATCTGCAAGTAAGCTAGCCTGTAAGCAACTTGACCCAGTTTTTTATATGATGTCAAAAGATTCAATGTATCGTGTGCCCAATTTGCTTCCCTGGCCAAATCTAATTGCATATTTCATTAACCTGACTTTTGAAAACACAAACTCTACTATTTTATGTTTTAGGTCATAATATTTTTGTTGTCAATCTTGAGTAGCTGTCAATCAATCTCTGATTAATTTTATTCTCTTTAGCTTCAACAACCAATTTAGGCCCTAGTAGTTGGCGTTCTCCTACCTCATCCCAACTCAATGGAGTTTTGCATTTCTTGCTATACAATGCTTTATAGGGAGTCATTCTAATACTAGATTGATAATTATTATTATGGGCAAACTCAATCATCAAAATATGATGTTCCCAACTATCTCCAAAATTAAGGACATAAAGACTCGATAGGTCTTCCAATACTTGTATTATCCTTTATGATTGTCCATTAGTTTGTGGATTAAAAGTTGTGTTAAGATGCAGATGCATACCCAAATCTCTCTGAATACATTTCCATAACCTGGATACGAATCTTCTTTCTCTTTCATAAATGATAACCTTTGGAACACCGTGTAGTCTAATAATTTTCTTACATATAATCTAACAAACTTTTCTAGCGAGTGTCTGTTTAATTGACAAAAATTGAGTTGGTTATGTTAAACTGCCAAAAATCACTCAATTATTCTCATGACCTTCATGGATCAAGGTAATCTCATAACAAAATCCATCATGATTTCTTTCCATTTTCACTTAAGTATAGGTAATGATTGCAGCAATTCACTGGATCTTTGATGTTCAACCTTTATAATCTGTCAAACTCAATATTTTGACACATTGATATTCAACACCTTTCTTCATACCAGACACCAGAACTTTAATTTGAAATCTTTGTACATATTAATGCTACCTAGATGAATTGTGAACTTTGATGATGAGCTTAATATAAGATATCTTATCTCAAATCAGAATAAGTTGGTACCTAAAATTGTAGCTTGTTTTCGATAACACCACCTTCATCTACAATCATATCTAGCCTCTTTCCCAAGTTCAATGAGTTTTTGATATTTTTTGTTAATTTTTTGGGCTGCCTTAATTCTATCTATTAAAGTTTATTGAACGGTTGTATGATATAAATACCTGACATCTCATGTTGTTTTAACCTTTATCTGTAAACAACAATTCCTTAATTTAGCTTGCACTATTTATAGATTTATGGCTCAAAGCATCGACAACTACATATGCCTAGTCAGAACAATAATCTATGTCTAGATCATAGTTTTTGATAAATTCTAGTTAGCTTCTTTGTCTCAAATTTAGCTCTTTTCTTATGAAAATATATTTCAAACTTCGATATCAGTGAGTACTTTCCACTTCATGCCATATAGACAATGACTCCAAATCTTGAGAACAAAACTACAACCAATTTTTTTAGATCATAAGTCAAATAATTTCTCTCATGCAACATTAATTGTTTGGATGGACAGGTTATAACTCTTCTATTTTGCATTAAAATACATCCCAAAACTCTTAATATTGCGTTTATAAATTTGGAATCCCTCTGTTCTTAATGGGATAGCTAATGTTGATGCAATAATCAAATGTTTCTTCAATTCTTGATAATTGTGCTCACGCTTTTCGGTTTACTCAAAATTAACATCTTTTCTCATCAGCTTGGATAATGACATAGCTATTTATGAAATATTTTGACGAACCTCATGTAATATCAAGTCATACTAAGAAAACTGCGTACCTCTATAACATTTTTTAGGTGTAGGCCATTCAACGATCGCTTTCACCTTCTGAACATTCACTAAGATTCCTTGTCCGCTGAAGATATATCCCATGAATGCAATCTCTACAACTAAAATTCTCATTTAAAAAATTAGGCAAATAATTGATTCTACTTAAGTAACTCCAATACTATTTTTAGATGCTTAGTCCTTATCAATTTTTGAATATGTAAAAGCTTCATCGATGAAGATAATAACAAACCGATCCACATAAAACTTAAATATTTGATTCATCTTGTCCATGAAAATTGTAGGTATATTTGTTAAACCAAAAGACATAACTAAGAATTCATAATGACCACACCTTAACCCAAAAGCTCTCTTAGTTATAATTGTCTTTTTGATTTTGACTTGATGATATCCCGATCTCAGATTGATCTTGAAAAATACAATAGCGCTCTTGAGCTGATCAAATAAATCATCTATCTCGTGTAGTGGATATTTATTGTTGATTGCTACCTTGTTAAGCTCTCTATAATGCATAATCACATAATCCATCTTTCTTTTTGATAAACAATAAGTGAACATTATGGTGAGTTACTTGGCCTGATAAAGCTTTTATTAATTAATTCTTATAATTCCTTTTGAGCCATCCTATAAGTAGATTTAAAAATTACAGATGTCTCCGACCGCACATCAATATCAAACTGAACTTCTCTTTTTGATGCTAGGGCTGACAATTCCTTAGGAAATACCTAAAAAAATTTTGCACCTAATGGAATTTTATTTAATTTTTGCACATCTTAGTTCAATACTTTTAATTTTGCTAAAAATACCAGTTCATCATTTCACAAACATATTTGAGCTCTTCGTGGTGGTGAGCAGCCCAGGACTTAAATACTGCTCTTCGGCCCTACACCTAGCCGATGTGGGACTTTTTGTCAGTAACATGCTCCCCCACCCAATCACGTGATGCCCTCGTCACGGATCGGCTCCCCCACGAGTACCCATAGTCGTCACGGATCGGCTCCACCGAGAGTCCCACTAGACCATGGAGAGTTCACACACCTGACAGACGGTAACCTGCTCTGATACCACTTATTACCTCTCAAAAGAGAGCTTCGGGGTGGTGGGTCACTACATTGATCAAATAAGATAGTGCATTCCTATCACAATAGAAACAAAATGGCTTCTTGCTAGACAAATTAAACTTAACTCTCTTTTTCTATCATTCAATCGTAACAAAATATTTTACTAACCATTCTATCCCAAATGTAGCATCAAAAGTTTGAATTGGTATTATGATTAACTCCACTAGTTGTTTTCTATCATAAATACTAACATGTACAGAACATTTTTTATTTGCATAGAAACCTTTTCTCAAGGGCATGCTAACATTCAATGTAGGAGTTTAGTGTAAAATATCAACAGATAAATTGACAGAAAATTTTTCAAAAATGAAAGAATACGATGCACTCAAATCAAATACAATTATGCTTGACTAGAATAAGAAGCATATTTGTAACCATTTTTTTAGATTCTTTAACTTCTTGAGAGGTAATTGTAAAAATTTTGGGTTTCAGTGATGGCTCATTTCGACATTATGAAGTCTCACCTTTTGCTTGAAATGATGTCTTTCTTAAAATGGGGTCTTGTTTTTCTGTCTTCCTTTTATCAATTTTCTAGGCCGCCCTGTCCATGAAATATATGTGGCATGTTGTCTATTTTTTTCCAACGAACAATTTGTCCACATTTATAACACTTTCCGGAACCAACCAAGCAATGCCAAAAATGACTTTTTCCACGCAACTCATAAAGTGGCTTTTCCAACTTGAGTTGCTTTTGCTTACCTTCCAACTTAAATTTCTTGCTTCAGAAGTCCTCTCTTGGCAAAATTTTTATGTTTGCTTGTTTGGGGTTGCCACCGTTGATTGGAGAAGTTTATCTCGTTTTCAGTTCTTGTGGGCCTTTAAACTAACACTGAAAAATCATCAATCTCAATTGATCTTAGAGGCTGCACAACAATCAATGCCATTTTTTGATGTGAAGCAAAATATAATGTGATATGATACAAATTGTTTTTTTTTTGCTATATATGCTAGTTTTATACTTGTGAAAAGTGGGTTTATTTTGTTTTTGCAGGAATAGGTGCGGAGCTAGCTCAATCGAACAAAAAAGCCAAAATGAGAGCATGTGCTGCGAAACAGAGCCCTAACGCTTGATCTGGGCGCCTGGGCTCCTGGGCTCCTGGGCGCCTTGGCGCCTGGGCACCTAAAGACAGTGCAAGAGGTGCACAGGCATCTGAAGCTAGAGCAATAGGAGCTCATCACCAGTGCTAGACGGCTAGGCGTCGGAAGCCCAAGCAATAGGTGTAGAGGTGTCTGAAGCCAGAGCAACATGCACCTTGGCACCAATTTTTGGTGCCTACACACCAATATGCATGTGAGTAGGTTTAGACGCATCATTTCACGGGGAATGGCTTAAATTATCTCATAAACTATTTCAGGGAACTCTCTGGCTAGTGCGTTTGAAGTTGAAAGACTTGTAAGAGTGACAGAGTGTTGGGATTGTGAGGGTTTGTGTAAGAAATTTACGAAATAATATATGAAAACTCTCTTTTACTTTATAAGTGTTGTTCGGTTAATCTAGTAGAGAAGTAAGAAAGTCCGGTGGTAGCATTTAAAAGTTCTCGCTTGTACTTTGTATTCTATCGGATTCTTTCTTTTCCAAACTTTTGTATTTAATTTTCCTTAATGAATAAAATGTTGCTTTTGTTGTTTCAAAATATGAGTAGCACTCAGATCTCATTTTCTCCCTTGAATTGGTAGTCTAAGGATCTGGAGTTTAACTATGTTATGTGATTGAATTAAGCTTTTTTATGATGATGTTTTAATTTATGTTCTTAATTTACTCTCTGCCTGGTAGTTGCTTTGTTAAAACTTGTGAACTATGAGTTTCAAAAAAAAATTAGTGGAACAATTATGTTAAAGTACAAGGACTTAAGAAAATAGAAATATTGCTTATAGGTTAGTACAATTGTGTAGGGAGTTTCAAAGTCATTGAGATTTTTGCATGATTTAGGGAATTGAACTGTAATATGAAATCCCAAGCCTTCTTTGACTACTGGAAGGGGCTAAGGTGGAAATCTCCCCTTGATTGTCTCTAATAACTATATCACTTAGTTAAATATTGATTTTTAAGAGCCAATCCAGGGGAAATCTTGAGCAAAAATATACAGGTGTGATTGTCGCATACTTCATAGTAAATTTTGGCATAAAGTTTTTGCATAGTTGTCGGGGAATGACTTTAAATGTTCATTTTTAAGAAGATTTTAGCTCATTAGTTAGGGTTTAGACTTGAAACTTGTGTTGTAAGGTTCGCATATTTTCTTTGTTATTTTCTGTGTTCTAAAAATAAAAAAATTGAATTACATGTTTTTTGTTATTCAACATATATTCTTGTTTTATCTTATTTATGCATATTTTTTGTGAATTCATATTTTCTGTTAGACTTACTTATTCTAGGTTTGCATGCATAGGATCGAAACTATAAATTTAGTAACTTCTGACCCCGAAATAGAAAAAAAAAACCAAAAAATTCGAAAAATTATAAAACTCAAAAAAATAAAAATTAATAATGACAAATCGTCACGAAGAACATCGTAGACCCCTTAGGGAGTTTGCCAATTCATTGGCAGAGAAAATTTACGTTAGTATCAGTAACCTAGATGTAGAAGTCAATTCTTTTAAGCTCAAACTTGCTATCATCCACAAATGATTCATAATAACTAGTTTGGAGGATCACTCATAGAAGACCCTAATCTTCACTTGATTAGTTTTTTAGAATTATGTCAATTTCAAGTATATAACAGTCTTTCCAATGACATCATTAGACTAAAGTTATTCCCTTTTTCACTTAAAGATAATGCTAAGATGTGACTGGAATCTTTAGCGCCAGAGTTAATCACCAATTGAAATTATCTAACCTTAAAAAGTTTTGGACAAATATTTTTCTACATCTAAGACTGCTAAATCTATGAATGATATTATATCCTTTACCCAGTTAGTTGGAAAGTCAATTTATGAAATTTAAGAGAAATTTAAATAATTACTTAGGAAGTGCCCACACTACGCCATACCTAACTGGCTTATAATTCAAATATTTTAAAATGGACTGGTGAGATCGTTAAGGTTAATTATAGATGCTGCAGTTGGGGGGTCGCTATTATCCAATCCATTTAAGGAGGCATATTCATTAATAAAGAAAATTGATATAAATAATTTTCTGTAACCCTCTAAGAGAACTAAACTCAGGAAGATGGTTAGTGTTCATTACACAAATGTGTTGTCAATCATAACTTCACAAATAACTACATATCCAGAAAATTAGATAATTTAAACTTATATCTAGCAACAAGATCACTAGTAATAGAAGAGAATGTGTATAGGCAACTAGTGGATCCGTGTAATGCTTTTGTGGAATCAATGAATGTTATAACCAATAGAGCGACAACCTTTACTCCGACACCTATTATCCTAAATGGATGAATGCCCCAATTTTGATTGGAGCAATAATCAAAACATAAAAAACCAACAGTGGGGTAGTAACCAACCAAAAATCTTATAGAAAGACCAAACAGGGCAGTAGCAATTTGAGATCAACTTACCCATCTGGATTCATTTTTAATCCCCAATTTAGAAGAAATTATCTTTCGAAGAATTGATAGCTATTATGGGGAGTAAGATACAAAGTCATGCTACAGTCATAAGGAACATAGAAATACAATTAGGGCAAAAATCTTCGAGTCAATGACCTCAAGGGATGTTACTAAGTAACATAGGGGTAAATCCAAAGAACCAAAATGCGGAGCAGTTTAAAGCCATTAGACTTAGAAGTGAGAAGAAGTTGGAAGATATCTCCAGGAAAGAGAGTTGTCTTGAAGAAAAAATCCTACAACCTAAAAGACTTAGTGAGAATTCAACCATAAATTTAGGAAAACTTAGGAAGGAACAAGAGAAACTACCACTATCCTTTCCCCAAAGACTGAAAAAAATATGTTATATCAACAATTCATCATGTTTTTAGAGTTTTTCAAGAAGCTTACAGTTAATATTCCATTGGTAGAAACTCTAGAGCAGATGTCTTGTTATATGAAATTCATGAAATATATCATTAATAAGAATAGAAAACTAGAGGATTTTGAGACTATTGTGCTGACTGAGGAATGCAACACTATCCTACAAAATAAATTGTCACAGAAACTTAAGGACCCAAATAGCTTTACCATTCATTGTGTCATGGGAGAAATATTCTTTGGGAATGCTCTATGACTTAGGGGCTAGTATTAATCTCACGCCCCTTTCTTTTTTCAAAAGACTAGGATTAGGAGAAGTTCAGCCTATCACAGTGATCATTCAATTAATTGATTGTTCACATACCTATCCCAGGGGGGTGATAAAGAATGTTTTTGTTAATGTTAATAAGTTTATTTTCCCAATAAATTTTATTGTCTTGGACACAGAGGAAGATGTTGAGATCCCAATAATATTAGGTAAACTTTTTTTTTTTCCCTCTTGGAGAGCAAATTTTGACTTACAAAAAGTGGAGCTAGCTATGAGTGCTCTGGATCAAGAAATAACCTTTATGATTTATAATTTGATTCAACCCCTTATATATCTTCTTGATGAGTGTTGTAGAGTTGACACTAAAAAGTTACAGGAAATTCTAATCAAAGGTATAAAAATAAATACATGTATTCTAGAAGATTCAAGATTGAAACTAAAATTTGAAGATTTAGAGAAGTCTCCATGACAATCATAATATTGGGAGAGTGATTAGGGACTACTGAAAAGACAATTTGATTATGAAGAATTATTTTACGAGTGATCTAATGTTGTTTGGCTAAGGGCATTAAACTAAATACTTCTTGGGTGATAACCCAAGCGTTATCTTATTGCTTGATTTCATATTTTGTTTTGCTATATATGTGTGTGCTTTGGTGAGGCCGAGGACGTTAAATCAAGTGCTTATTTGGGGTAACCCAATGTATCTTTCCTTCATGTTTTTATGAACTAGTCTCTCTAAAACCACCCACCATTTGCTCATTATATCTTGATTTCCTACTTCCTATATTTTGTTTTCCTTTGATACTACTTAGTGATGTTGTGCCTGCAGTTTTTCATCTAACATGTGATCTGTGTGGTTTCTTGTTAGTATTGGTGTGTACAAACCTGTGACTCGCATGTTAGTGGACTTATGTTTTTTTCTTCTTCTTATCTGAAATATGCTAGCATAGTTTTTATGTCGTCTCCATGTTTATCTCAGTACACACATGTTTATTTTATGTGTAATTGTTGCATTTTAAGTTAAGAGTAAAAAAAAATCTAACTTTGTCCCTTTCTTTTCCATGCTTCTGGAAGTCTAAATGATTAACATTCAAGTGGAAAAACTTGTCATATCAAATATGGATTTTTTTTTAAATTATTCTCCATCTTTTTTTGAAGAATTTACCGTTAGTCTTATCCGACTATTTTGCTTGGCTTGGCTAGTATAATGCCTTCTGTCATAAATCCCTATTAACTATTATTTTCATTGTTAGCTGTAATTTTAAGTCATTTGCACGTCGTTAAGTCACATTGCCAAGCCACTTTATGATTAAGGTATCCTGTTACAAATGTGTAAGGTCTTTGTTTAGTATTGCAAATGTGTAAGTTACAATGAGTAGAAATAATTGCAATACTTTTTTCCTAGACAGCTTTCACAAAATTGGTTTCGCTGTTGCTTCTCAGTTTATGAAGAAATCCAATTTTTTTGCCCAAAAAAATTAAGTTCCTTTCTGTCTGCCACATTAATGTCATATCTTCCAGTCACGCATGACTGTTTGAACTTCAATTAGACATCGTAACTATGAAAAATCTTGTGTTTTAACTTATGTACTTTCACTGCAGCTTTCCATTATTATTATGCAATCCTTTATCTGTTAGTACGCTTGTGCATCAATAATGCTAATTGGTGATTAGGAATGTTCCACTGATGATTACAAATAAATATTTTTCATTTTCTGGTATACTTAGTGCTTAGGCTTGAGTAACGCACAATATAAAATTGTTTTATGTCAAAAAATGTGTTGAACTTATTGAAGGTATTTGCGAAGTAGCATTTTGTTAGCAATGAGAAGAAGTGGTGAAATAGGGAGAAAAAGGATTCATTTAGCCGACCTCACTTGGTGGATAAAGGCTTGTTATTGTTGTTGTTGTTGTTGTTGTTGAGAAGAAGCGGTGAAATGAAAAAAAGTTCCCAATTATAGTTTCTTTGCAACAAGGATCATTTTGTACCTTTTATATTTGGTTATGGATAAGCTTAAAAATGTATATTCAACATTAGGTATCTTATTGAGTGATTGATATTAACAGATGGTGTGGCTGCAATAAGTGAGTTCTCACCTCGTAAAAATTTAGAATATTGGTGAAGAAAATTTAAAATAAGCGGCTTAGAAGTAGTAGAACTAAAACGAAGCAGATAATTTGCAATTTTAGGAGTAAATTTAATAAAAATCCGTCAATATTGTCGGAGACTAAGTGAGATACCTTAATGTTGTAGGTTTAGGTACCTTATATTTGTTATATATTGTATTGAAGAATGGAGTTGTAGATGAGGATATGACTGAGTTAAGGCGAGTGCTTAAATTTGAGTATCTCAGGAGTAAGATGAGAGAATATCTTGGTGACTTGAATAAAACTATATTCAAATCAAGTTAACTATATTATGTGGAATAAAAACTAATAGATAGCTAAGGTTTGGTTCATAGCATTAAGATGAATGGTAAAATTATATTGTGGTAGAGAGGTAGTTGGACAAAAATATATTTAAGATAAGATATTTAGTTCGTTTTGACATGTATATGTTGTGAGGAAACTGTGGAAACCCATTCGTGTATCCAAAGCAAAACTTATAATAGAAGCACACAAAGTAATAAAACATATTTAATGCGTAAAACTCGAGAACAGGAAAAAACTACGAAGCCATATCATACCAAGAAATTCACTATGAAGAAATGAGAAGAACAGATAGATTACAACACACTTAAGTCTCTTTACGCTCCTGGAACTCACGAACACTCATTTCTATCTCTCTCACAAGAGAATTCATGAAATCCAACTTAGTTCACACAAATACCGCAGCCAAGATGATCATTTAAAGGCCGAACTACACATTTTTTGTTACAGGCGCCTAGACGCCATCCTCAGGCGCTAAGTTTTCAAGAAACAAGCATATCTGGGCGCGGCTGCACCCTTTCTGGGCGCCACTTTTTCTCGCACTCGATTCTACAAGAAGCTCTTTTAGGCGCTTAGGCACCACACCAGTTGCCAAATTGTCAAGTGCTTGGTTTTGGAGGCTTCTGTTGGGCATTGGGGAGCGATGAGGCACCCAATGTAGGTGTTGGCTGCGAGTTTATTCTCTCTGTAGATTGAGAATAAAAGATGCACGAATAAGACAAGGGATAAAATTATTATGAAAGTTTTTTGAAAGCAAATAGATATACTGAAGATTGTATTAAAAAGGTTTGCACAAAAGTGGTAAAATCTCATCCAACATTTGATGTTCATGAATGGTGTATTGGTATTCATGAAGAGAAGCCATAAGAGTTGGGCTAAATCTAATTATGAAAATGATGATAATGAAGATGCAAATTCTTTTTATTATAGTATATTTTTGTTATAAATATACGAGAATCATGCACCTTTAGAGTTATTATTGAATTAATATTTCACTTATCATCATCCTAACTTCATTTGTAGGTGGATAATTGATCAGCAAAAGTCTGAGGGCGTTAATCCTGGTGAAGCTGTATACATCATTTTGCGACTAGATGGTCGTATTCGAAGGTCAGGAAAGGTATGTTACATGAGCACACTTTAATTTTCATTAAACTGATCATGGGATGGTTAATAAATATTCATGCTCAATATTTTTTGCATTATTTCTATGTTGTATAGATATACTGTAGTTGTTGGAAACACAAATTTAACCATTTTTATATCTGAACCAACATTAATATCTATTTATAACACTTCCTAGCAAATGATACCAAAGTTAAAGGTTCAATCGAAGTTTGTAACTCTATCGAATCCTAATTCCATTAGAAATCAATATTGATTGCAAAGTACTCTGGCATTAGAGTTTTTGATAATAACATCTTTTAGGCTTTTTTTCTTGGCGAAATTTACAATACACAGCAGACAATTCTTATGTTTTTACATATCCGACACCCAAAGTTTGATATTTATAGTTGGATATTTATACTTATACATCATAAATCTATGCATGAAAAGGTGTATTTCACTTTTATAATGATGATAATGGTTGTATTTATGATGCTATGTGGATGATTCAAGTGGTAGGCCTGTAAATATGAATGTTTAGGTGATAGATATGTAAATACATAAGAATTATGTGGTAAGTATGCAAATTATATATCAGCTGTTGTGGATCACTACGTTACCACACTTTGGATAAGATAGTGATAGCCACTCAGCATGTATGGGACCCACACTAATATAGGGCCCTACAATCTCTGCAGGGCATGCCCAATTGGCAGCAGATTGTGAAGGAGCTGCCGCCACTGGAAGCATTCCTCAGCAAACTGGAACGGTGAATACTTCAATCCCATAAAAAAGTTCGATAAGACCTTTCCCTTTTGTTTCTATCAATTTGTACACAACATGGAGAATGAGCAACATTTGTCGCATCTGTGCCACAATGAGGAAATGCTTTTATTATAAGGATTATATTCACTTTTGCAATATATTATACTATGTTTTAGAGCTGAATTTTATCATATATATTTTATTATTGGAAGTTGCTTTGAATTTATATTTCAGTTTATTTTTAAAAAAAAATCGTTTTCCTGGATTGTATTGTTAAAAAACTGTAAGTTCCATCTCCAGATGAACAATGGTAGGGGTGTAAGTGAGTTAAATCTACTCGTGAGCCGGCTAGAGCTTCGCTCACGAATTGAGCTCGAAGAAGCTAACAAGCCAAGCTCAAGCTAGCCCCGTGGGCTCGTGAGCTAGTTTGTTTAAAAAAAAAATTAATATAAAATATCCACATAATATTTTAAATATGATTATTTTATCTTTAAAGTATTTAAAATGTTTAAAAAATAATATTTTTATGTGATTTTTTATTATTTCTCTCGTATTTGCTTATTCTTTTTGTCATTTTGTTATAACACTAAAGTACTATTATTTTCTCTTTTATAATAAACAAGTCAACTTGAGCAAGAGCTCAAACTCGATAAAACTAATCATGTTCAAGCTCGAGTCGAGGGTGGCTCGAGCTTGACTTGACTCGTTTATACTCCTAATTAAAGGACTCAATTGATCAAGTGCAGATCCTTTTGTCAGGACTGGATGCCGATCGGACGCAGACTGTCCGAGACAATGATCAAGATCTATCAAACTGAAAAGAGGCATCAACCTAATTCTCGTCTCAGTATCACAAGTCACCTCATAAGAAGGTTTTTTCATGATATATCCATGACCAACTCGAAGGATCTTTTGTCAAGGAATGAGCTACATGTTGAATTATAGTGAATGGACACACAATCTCCACATTCTATTGTTCATTAGCGTGCACACTCTCTTCCTCTTTTTCTCTCTTTCTCTCTCTCTCTCTCCTATTTTACGCTCTATTTCTTGTGTGTCTCTCAGATAGATTCAGATTCAACGTCCTCATAGGTGGGGTGAGCAACCAAAAATTTTAGTCGAACCGTAGGAGTTGGCCAATAATCATAGTTCGACCGAAGAGTACACTTCCACCCCTAATAAAATCAGCCACTCATTGTCTGCAGGAGTGTTCTCTCAAAGATGACAAATGGAGATCGAGGGAAGACTCATGTCTGTCCACTTGTCTGCGATACGAAGATCATCGTCCACTCCAGGATTACAGGCGGACCAATAAGAACCACAATAAACTCAATAACATGACTAACGACCAGCTCTTTATTATGAGTGACCGTTGAATGATCACGAGACCCTGATGACAACTTTGTTGAGAATTTTGATGGCAACCTAATGAAGGTCAAATTGAGTATATTCCTAGTTTTTATGTGTTACAAAGTAATAATATAATATATTTTTTTAATTGTTATTTATATATATTATTATTTTATTATATATATATATGTATTATAATGTATTATAAAGTAATAATATAATATTATATTTTCTTAATTTTTAGGAAGATCATGGTCATGGGATATTTATTTTACTAAAAGACAAAACTAATAAGGTTTTAATCTTATATTCGATATTAGGTTAAGATGAATTCTATTTTTTATTCCAAACCTTGATGCATCTTTTCAATAATTAAATCTATTGCCTACTATTTGCATTTCAACATCGATTGGCCGTTATTTGAATGTGACCTGTAATTTATATATTCTTTATTTAAAATATCTACATATATATATATATAATCTATTTCTTACTATTTGCATTTCAACATCAATTGGCCGTTATTCGAATGTAACATGTATATATATATTTTCTCAAGATTCGTGCAGACATATATTTGCTGTACACCTTTTTTATAAAAGATTTTTTGTTATTGTATCATATGAGAACATTACGCAAATGATGCTCTTAAATTATTATTGGTTTTTAGGAAGATTTACATAAATATCACTTGATTCTTAAGTATTTACATATTTAACACTCAAACTTCAATTTTTATATTATTGTCAACTTGTTTATCAATGAAAAAGGTAAATTTCACTTTTTAAAAATTAAAATAGTGATATTTTTTTTATATGATGTGATAAATTTGAGTGGTATAATCCTAAGAAGTAAGGTTTAGGTATTAGATATGTAAATACATAAGAATTGGGTGGTATGGGTGCAATGCTTCTTTTTTATCATTTATATGCATTATAAGTAAAACATTTATAAATAAATATAGATCCCTAATTATATATCGTATTTGAGGTTGTCTACTCTCTGATCTTGTCAAAGCTCCCTCAAACAATCATCAAAATTTTGCATGTTCAGAGTGCAAACAATATTGTTTGAAGTTGAGCATTGGTGGTTCACTTTTTATCTGTCAAAGCCGAGCGTAAAAGGTTCATCATATATTCATTGAAGTTGAGCGGTGTAGCTCTCTTTTGTACATGAAAGCCGAACTTGCTGGTGGAATAATAACTCACATGGTTGGTTGTTGTGTCCACTCTAGATTTTGAAAGATTTCTTCTATCTAAATGATCTATGCATTTGAAGAATAATATACTATCCAAAAATGTATAAATATTACATGAAAATGGATCAAGTCATCTCGATGTGAAAAATATTTAAAATTTTTGGGTTTGCATAAGAAAATGTTTTTTTTTCCCAACCTTATGGATGTAAAATAAAGTTTATTTCATTATGAGGTTTGTTATCTCTACAAAGTCAAACCTTCATAGTTAATTACACCACAATAGTTATGTATATCTTATTACAGAAATTTAGCTTATTACCGATAGTCAAATACAGTATGTAAGAACATAACAGTCGTAGGCAATATATGTATCGACAGTTTAGTGATGACTAAATTAATATAGCAAAAACGTTTGTCGATAAAAAAATTACCGACGAATATCCGACATACCATAACCGTCGCTAAAGATCCAAAAACACACTATATTTAACTGTAGCTTGATCGTGTATTATAAAACTGATGCATATGTCTGTATGAAATGTGTTGCACTTATGTTGGAAAAGTGTCTGGTTCTACTTATAAAGTATATCATGTTTAATCGTAGCTTGACTGTCAGTTATATCACCGACGCATATGTCTGTAGGAAAAACATTGCACCTCCGTCGGAAAGTGTCATGATTTTGTCGATAAAATGTCGCACATTTGTCAGTTAACCGTGGGAATTTATCGACCATTTTAACCGTAGCTAAAGTGCATCATTTTGTTTAGGAGCCACTTGTTCGATAGCTTGTCAAAAAACTACCGACATATAATCAATGGGTCGTAAACTGTCGGTAAACGGTCGAAAATCTGTACCATGAAAAAAAAAATAGTTAAACCTCTTTCAATATTACAATCTAAACACATGCAATTGTAACAGTGCAATCAAAACACAACACAAAATTGTAAAGAAACTAATTAAACATAAATTAAAAATAAAAGAAAAATAATTGAATTAAATCAAATAAAATGTACAACTCTACAATAAAAACAGTAAATCAATTGGAGCTGTAATAATTAAATATATATATTTATTATGCTTAATTAAATATATATTCACTTCAGAAAAAAATTTAAAAAAAAAAAAAGATAAAAATCTTGCTTATCATCACCTCTGTCGTAAATATCTTATCCTTTCATTTATTACAACAATATTACAAAAAGATCAATGCTGCTAATGGCCGCATAAAAACGGAAACAGTCAAATGCTTGGCCTATAAATGTACGAGCCGAAAAGTAGGAATTTTCATCAAAGGAAATAGCCAGAAAAGAAAGAGATTAGTGAGATGGGCAAGTCATTGGCTCTTCTTCTTGCTCTGCTCTTCACAATAGCTGTTATGGGGATGAAGGTTTTCTCGGTGGAAGCTCGGACGGTTCCCGCTGGTCTCAACTGCTGCATGCCACGTTCCAATCCCTGTTGTTCTTCATGGATGAAGACGAAGGAGCCTTTCTGAGCAGATACTTGAAGAATTAATTACTACTGCTATATGTTATTCTGAATTAATTAAGAGGCTTCAGAAGCTTCTTTTTGTCGAGCACTTATCTTTCTTTCATGGATGTTTAATTACCGGTCTTAATTTGAAGTACATTTTTCTTTTGATTAAACTTTCTCTTTGTTGAAACTGGGATTGTCAGTTGAATCACACTCTAG